AATAGGAAGGTATAAATACATTAACAAGGGATGTCACAGCTGTCCTGTTTATATTGAAATGGAGTTTGGACCCTAGATCTCATTCTTCACTTTCAACTCCTGCAGCAGACCGAGGTCTGCTCCCTCTTACGTCATAGTTGTTCATCTGCTTCCCAGCTTTACCTACCACTTTCCTGCCACTGCTGCTTGTGTAGTGTATGTAAGAAGAAATGAGGCTCTGGAAGAAAAATAACAGAAGAGGAGAGGAGTCATGTATGGTTTAGCATCTGCAGTCAGAGTACCTGCACATAACTTGAGAAAAGTTCCATATGGGGCATTTTATTTTTTAATTAACTGAAAACTCTTATAAGTAGTTTGATAAATACCTTACAGCCAAATTTGCACATTATGTCAAATGCTCTTTGATTCAAATTTCTGTGTGCACATTTTCAGTTCTTTGATATTTGAAACATACTGAAGCTTATTTGTTGTATTCTTAGCGGGAAACTTGTAAGTTTTCTTGAGAGTGGAGGAGGCAGGCTCAGCAAGGGTAAAGTACTGCATTTTGTATATTGTACAGTAATCATACTGTGTTATTTTGAAAATATTTCTGTTTTCCCATAGAAATGGGTTGATGGTGGCCTTACCAATGGCCTTCCTATCTTGCCTTTTGGAAGAACTGTGACAATTTCCCCTTTCAGTGGTCGATTAGATATCTGTCCACAAGATAAAGGGCGTGTGGACCTGTATGTTAAATTAGCAAAACAAGATATGATGGTAAGTTGCTTGTTTATTAACTTAAAAACACTAAAAAGTACTTTTGCAGTTGCGTTCATATTTGTCTCTTTTGTGCTTATATGTCAGCTTACATAAAATTTTGTCATTTTCTGTTTTGCAAATGCAGTTTAAACCTTTTCTTAAACACAAGGAAAACAGAATAATAAAGAAGAAAGTTTGAAAAGCATTGATCTAGTACAAAACAGACCAAATTATAACAGGGTGTTCAGTGTAAATAATACTAGGTTTGCTTTACGTATCTGTTATCTTTGACTAGGCAAGATGTATATAGAAAAAAAAAAATGGAATGCCTCAGGAGAGGACAGCTGCAGAACATTTCTTCATGCTGACTGAAATCAATTGCTCTAACTGAATTTAAAATACAACTTTAAGTTGTACATTTAAAGTGGTATATACAGTGACTTGTAACTGCATTGCATGAGAGAGCTTTTGAACATTTTTGACTACAATGCATTTCCAGAAGTTTCGTTAGAATTTGCAGAAACATTTCTGTATGTTGAAATATGAGACTGATTTTTATTGCCTACTTTTCATCGTTGACATCTGTCTTCGCAACCTTTGTCTCACAAACACAGGTTTGCTTTCTTCAACATGCTGAAAGAAAATACTGAATAGTGAAAGACCTAGTGGTCAACAATATCCCATTAGAAAGAAAGATTAACAGTAATAAGTACTTTATAAAGCTTCTTTTCTAGGCAGTTTTTAATGTTTTCTTAATTTCGCTAAAATTAGTGTTATGTAATACCTTTCTCAATTGGACCAGTTTTTCAATCTTTATCATTTTTCACAAAGAGATATTAAGCATGATAGTGCTTGCTGAAGATCATAAAGTACAAGATTATTGATTTAATATATCTTGAAAACTTATGCAATAATTTTATATTTCTTGATTGTACTTTGTATCTGGAGGATGAAAAATGACCTGGTGATTTGTTTAGTTAAGAGATAGACACTAAATTGCACAGTCACATTGTTTCTGGGGTCACATGCAGACTTCTGCAGAATCCCGGGCAACATTTTAAATTATTTGAATTGAAGCACCTCTGTTTTTAGAACTGTAAAAATTATTACTAAGAATAATTTAATTTCAGCAATATTGTAATCTGATATATTGAGGAGTTGTACATCTTCATTTATCTATATTGGAGTGTTAATAGTTTTCTGTCTCTCCATCTCTTAATGTCAGAATTTGTATAATTGCTTGCTTACTTCAACTAATGAAGATGATTTTGATACTGTTTTTCAAAATCCTTTATAATAATGTGGTTAAATATTAATTATATAAAGAAATTGTTCCAAACATTATTAAATATAATTATATTTTTAATCTGTTGTCTTTAAGAAAAACGCTCCAAAATCTTTTTACATGATCAGAATGACCACTTAAGATGCTGAGTAGTTCTTAATTTGTTGGTAGTACAAGCTACATTTATACTCATATCTGAAATGTTGCCTGGGAGTGGAGGTTGTTTGCACTACTAAGTTGTCAAAATATTTCCTTGCACAAATTTAACTCGTGCCAGCTAACTCTGCAAGACAGTTTTGGGAGTGTTTCCAAAGCTAAAGCGTTTCAGAAACTTTGGACTGTTTTGCAGGCAGACAGTCTGTCTTGGATGCTGTGAGTTTAACTCTGTTTGTGCCAGTTTGTCCTGGTGCTCAGCAGTGACCCTGGACGTGGTTAATTCTGGTTTAGACACAGCCATACTGAACTTTTCATTTTACATATGCTTCATGAAACAGATGACAGAACACAGATGACAGTCACATCTAGATAAGTTGCATTAATAAACTAATTTACAGCTTCTTGCTCTGTTGCAGCTGTCTCTGGCCAACCTAGTAAGACTTAATCAAGCTTTGTTCCCACCAGACCAGGAGAAAATGGAATCGTTGTACCAAAATGGTTTTGACGATGCTGTACGCTTTTTATTGAAAGAAAACTGGTTTGAGTAGACAGCTCGTAGAAAATTAGCAAAACATGATGCCTGTCAAAACACTACAGGCATCCTAGAGAATCTCAGGGATTGCTGCCCCAGTTCCCGTTCATGAAAATAAGAATCCCAATGGACTTGCATCTGCTTCTGCTGCGAAAGTATCAGTTGCACTCCACGGAGCTGTATAAACATGTCAGAACGGGAGCTGGACGTGCCTGGTGGATGTCTTGTTCTGAGGGGGTTCCACTTAGATTCATTTTGCTTCAGCTGGGGATTTGAGTGTGGGATTTGTAAAAAGCTTGTGTTGTTATAATTACAGAAATTTGGAAAAGTCTTTTTCAGTGTTATTTCAGAGAAGAATTGATGTTACATCATGAAAAATTACAGTCTGTATTATAAACTTAACAGAATTCTGCGTATTAGTTCTGCATATTAATTGGATGCTCACAGTGTTACTGATCTAAACTATAACTTGCACTGTTCTAAAGAACTTGAAAATTAAGTATTAGCCACAAGAAAATAAAACATTTGCACTCTTATGTATTTTTTCATATTAAAAGTTCTTTTAATGTGAAAATGAAATGTTTTCTTTTAAAATTTTAAATACTACTGAAGTTTTTAGCAGAAATGTGATATAAAAATAACTTGTAAAGAATGGTGTAAAAATTGTTATATTTATTGTGTTTCCTTCCTCTTCCAGAATTGAATAAATATATTTTCTTGAAACTTTTGTCAAGAGTTTATTTAAAAGTGTCTTGGAATGCTGTAATGATCTGATTATCTACTATCAGTCTATTGGAGAGGAGTTGATGGGAGGCAGTGGGTAATGAACTCAGATTCACATATGTTGTTATTTTAGCATTCACATTACATTGGCTACCTTAAGTTCAGGATTTCCAGTCTCAATGCCCAAGTGCTAAAATCTGCAACTGTTTATGTAAAAGCAGAGTGTTTGGTTTTTAAGTGTAGGGCTTAAGTTGATTTACTGGTAAGTAAAAAAAAAAGTCAAAATTGGAAGTTGAATCAAGAATGTATGGAATTTTAGAATCCTAAAAACAAATGAAAAACCTGAGGCAATGAAAACCAAATCTTTTTTAGCTGTTTGAAAGCCTCTTCAGCAATTAACCACCAGATTTATATTAATATGTAGATTGCATCACATTAGGAATCATGTGCAGGGATTGAATTATTTTATTACTGTTTTTGATAATGAAAGAAAAAATACTGATGTGAAGCAACTTACTTTTGTTTTAGAACAGCATTTGTTTCTAAATGCATGAGGTTCTGCATACTGTGATAGTAATATACAGGATAGCTTGCGTGACTTCCAGATCTTAGGACAGCATTTTTGCATGTAAAACTGAAAGAAGTTACCTTTGTAACCTGTGCCTCACCCACTTGCATTCTCAGTTGTACAGAGTATAACTTCCAGCGTGAATTGCAGTAGTAGATAATGCTATTAAAAAAATTCTCTTCCTTCGTGCTGATCTGCTGCAGTGAAAGTCTCTGATTCAGTGGTAATAACCGTCCTGGAATTCTGGTGAAATCTTGAAACAGCTCTTTTTCACTCAGAGACTAACTGAGAAATCTAACAAGATCAAAGCCTCTTAGATTTTGTTTTCTATTTACAATAGTTGTATTCTTCAGATAGTGAATATGATCCTTTTTGAATGGAGGATGTTCAGGGGGTTTTTACCACTCCACAAGTTCTTCAGTTGATATAGATCTTTCCTAGCTAGTTATCCTGATCAATAACTGATATTTTCTGTTACATTGTTGTAATCAGATATGCTGAAAAAGGATCCCTTCCACCTTATTTTTCTCACTGTTGTATTGCATTATGTTACGAGAAATGGTTTCTCCCTGTTGTCCCCCCTCTGGATCCGTGGTGTGTTGGTTCCTTCCCCCTCACTCCTCCCCTCGGTTTCTCCCCATTAGCTGTAACCTGCCTTCTCCCGCCCCCTTTCCCTCTGTTCAAAATCCGCTGGCAGTCCCGGTTCTCCGTTTTTTCCCTGGAACCCTTCTGGAGTAAAGCTGGAATACAGTCCTGGTAAGAAGGAGCCTTCTGGTCTGTATCTTTTGTCCTTGCTAAATCCCCTTCTTCCCCTGGTGGGCAGCAGCTACTCAGGTGACATCCCAGGGCTGAGAGGAATAAAAAAAAATTGTTTGGTTTGGTTTGGTTTGGTTTGGTTTTTGTTTTTTAAAATATTGTAATAGCCCCACAGATCCCAGAGGATTATAGGGCCATGCTTTACGTTCACCATTCTCCCACAGTGCAAGATGTATTTCCTGTCAGACCTGCCTGTGCAGAGGAGCTACACAGGACTCATTCGTGGTCAGTCTTGTCTCCAGAACATTCAGTATCGTATCTATCTTTTGCAGCACGTCTTGCAAGACAGCTCGACTTTCAAGAGTAAGATGTTTCTCATGAAAAACAGCTTGCTTCTCTGAGCTTCCTAGAACATAGCTTTCAACAGTCAGTATGTAAACAGAACAAATCTCTCTTGTATTCGAGATTCTTTGTACTGTAGATACTGCCAAGTGTTCTCGAGCAGCCAGAGCAGAATAACATTCCTGCTGTACAGCCGCACTCGCCAGGGAGCTTGGAGACCTTCCGCTCCAGGTCCATGATGACGCTGTCAGCTACACCGCGCAGCAAGATGCAGCCTGTGTCATCGCCACTGGCCACCCAGCTTGATGAGTCACTGTCCTGGGCTGATTGTGATGTGAAATTGTATCCCCATTTGTCCACCTAGCCCAGAAATAGGTTTTGTATCCTTAAAACATCATCTAAGAGTAGAAGTGAGTGGAGAACAAGCACTGAGTCTGTTATCAGAGACTACTTACTCCACCCCGCATCCCAGGGCGGGGTTTTGACTACAGCACAGACAGACAACAAGGGACAGATCATCTTGGCTTTCCAGCTAGCCAGAGCAGAGAGGTCTTCCTGGACTGTTTTCTTTTCCTTGAACGGATCGAACCTGCTCTGAACTGGGGACTCGGGGGAGCACCGGGAGCTTGCACCCGTGGACTACCGGGAGCCCAGCCTGGGCAGCGGCATTTCCCAGCGCCAGAGGGACTGATAACAGAGCGAACATCCAGAGGAAAGAGACCCTATGAATTTTGTCATCTCTTCAGAGCGTTTTGTAATTTGATATTGTTCATTCTTGTGCTGGGTATTGCTGTGCCTGTTAAACAGTTTTTTTCCACTTCTCTCAGAGAAATCTCTTCCCAAACCGGCTAGGGGGTGGGAAAAAGGGGCCACGCGGGTTTGTTTCCTGAGGGAGGCCCCATTGGAGGTTGTCTCCCAAATTTGCCCTAAACCAGGACAAATGCAGTCACCCACATGCCGTCTGCAGCCGGAGCACATGAACACCGTGGGCATGATTGCCGTGCCCGCCCGTCGCTCTCACTGCTGCTGCTCTGGCCGGCCGCCGCCCGGCTCCAGCAGCGAGAGCGAGTACTCCAGCTCCAGGCACAGCTCCATCGTGTCCCGCCTGCTCGATGACCAACCGGCAGCGGCCCCCGACATCGCCCTCAAATCACCTGCCGAGGAAGCGGCAGTGACGCTGGGGACCGCCCCGGCACTGCCCCACTTTGGGTTGCATTCCCAAGCAACCCGACTCAGAGAAGCCCCAGCACGTCGGGGGCCGCTACCGGCCTCACACCGTCCGCGGGCTGCGGCCTCGATCACAAGGACTTCTTGAACTCTCTCTTCGAAGTTCTTCGCAACTTTCCCTTATGGTACTTGTTGGCTCTCAGTCTCGTGCCGGTATTTAGCCTTAGATGGAGTTTACCACCCACTTTGGGCTGCATTCCCAAGCAACCCGATTCACTTTCGATCACTCACAAATGCCTAAGGTATCAGAGAGTCTTCTTCAATAGGTCCTAAATAAATGGAGTTGAAAATCAGTTAGTGATCTCTTTGCCAAAATAAACCTCAGTGAAATAGCTGGGTTTTTAATTTCAGTAATACTTCCTAGGTAGATTCTGTTGCTTCTCTTCTTTTAGATGTGTTTAAAGTGTAGTCCTTCTGTGGCAGAAGACAAAACCTACATTTAACAGAATTTTGTCTTCCAATGGACTTGTTATGCAAATAGGCAACATAACTATTTTTAAAAAAATTTACTAATAAATTAAAAAGCTGAAGGAGATGAAACTTGAAAAAATTCATACCTGCTTTGTACCATGATGCTGTTGATAAGTGTTGCAATGAAGATGATGGCAAGCAATACTTATAATTTAAATAGAAGGTTCCATTTTTGCAGAAACCTTAGCTGTTCTGCTGGCTGTGTTTTCTGGGAAATCATTGTTTTGGTTTGTTTGGTTTTTTGATTCAGATTTCGTGGTTGTTGAGATGAAGAACGAGGGATGGGACCACCTTGCTTTGAAATGACTTATTGCTCAAATAGCCAGATATCAGTCTCAAGGTGCGAGATTTAGAGGAGCAACAAGTCAGCTATAGCTCAAGGAAGACATGAGTTTCCTCTTTGCACAGCAATATATAACATTTTTGTCCAACAGACAGTTGACATGAAACTTGTTTTCACTTATTAACCTATCACCTTTGCTTAATTTTGCTGCACTGCGTCTGTCTCTTAGCCATTAAGCTGACAGGTCACATACTCACACCTCTGTTATATTTTCTAGATCTCTAACTTACTCTATAAGTCATACTATTACAGTTCAAACTTCAAACTATTTTACCTAATATAATGTCTTACCTACTCTAGGTGTATTCTTACTTATAATTATAGGAACATAAGTCTGTAATTTCCCTACCCAATGTCTGTGTACCTTCATCACTACATCAATCCAAGCTCTTTCTAAGGCTGCAGATTGAACCCTTCAGCATCTGTAGAAGTTTCTATTTTTCGGTTTCCAACACATGGTGTCTTTTGAAAATCCTTAGTACAAACAGTAAAATCTAGAAGATGAGACAGGCTAAAGTAATATTTTCTCATGAAAATGAAAATATTTTTTATTACAAAGCACATGTTCCTATCTGTGCTGATATTTCTTCAGATTATGCTAAGGATATGCTAAGGTACTTTTTTGTGTTTATATATTCTGAAGTACATTTAAACAGGTAGGGCATATAAATCCTAAGAAGCTATTTTATTCCTGGATTTCATCACTTTCCATATTTCATAAATGCAGTGATTCTATATTTTCTAAGACCTCTGTTTTCCTAAAAGATTCTGGACTCTGCTCTGACCTTGGAAGTGGTCACCTTTGTTGATGTGTAGAGATTGGAAGTGAAGATCACTATAAATATAGAACAGCTACTTTGTTAGTTATTAAAAATAGTAATTGGCTGGGAGTACTAGGCTAGGCAGTAATGCTTGTCATCCAGATATAGGTACATCCATGGATATCTGATGCCTGGACAGATACTTCATTTCTTCAAGAGCAGTTCTTCATATACATATCAATACCCATTGTTTCTCCTGTCTCACTCTTCTTATGAACATTGATTTCAATCCTTTTTTCCATTTTCTTTCATTTCTCCAGGGAAGCTATAGGGCATGCATGCTATTACTATATATATTTTTCTATGGTCCAGTGAAGTGATTTCTGTCCAGTTTTCCACAGAATGCATTGTGAAATCTGTAATTACTGTTAAAATCTAGTTGAGGGTGTGTTAAATAACCCTTAATACCAGACGAAGTAATTGGGAGTTACTGTTTCAATTACTATTTTCCTTTAGCTTGTCTGCATGTTTCCTATCAGAGAATATATTTAAGTGATTTGAAGATAAACTTGAGTCCTGCTAAAGTTATGAGGAATTCTGTTTCCAGTCCCTGGAGGGCTGAGACTCCGTTGTTAAGATACTGGGTCATGAACCTTAGGTTCTTGTTTTAAGTCATTTGTAACTGAAGATATGCTCATGGTCCAGAGGACTCTGGGCGGGCTGCAGAATTGACCTGAAGAGTATCTCTCAGGTTTGTCAAAGAAATGGGCAAGTTCCTGCATCTGCTTTGCATGGATGTACCCCTAAGGGGATGCTGAGGGGCAACAAAATGACCATGAGCCAGCAATAGGCTTTCATGGCAAAGGCATCCAACAGCATCCTGCCCTGCATTAGGCAGAGCATTGCCAGCAGCTCAAGGATGAGGGTCCTTCCTGTCTACTCAGAAGATGCTGGACCAGATCTGGAATGCATTCTCCAGTTCTGGGTTCCCCAGGATAGGAATATTATGGACTTTCTGGAGTGAGTCATCTGCAAGCCCATGAAGATGATTAAGGACTAGAGAGCCTGGGAGAGCTGTGATTGTGTATCCTGGAGAAGGATGAGGGGAAGCTTATCAATTTGTATAAATACCTCTGGACGACAGAGCCAGGCTCTGTTCGGTGGTGCCCAGGGGCAGGATCAGATGCAATAGGCACAATATCAAACACAAGAGCATCCATCAGAATATCAGGAAAGTCTCTTTCCTTGGAGATATTCAAAAGCCATCTGGCCAAAGTCTTGGCCAGCCTTTCCTATCTTGATTAGAGGTGTTGAAATACATGGTTTTCCGAGGTCCCCTCTAACCAGTGATTCTGTGCTTCTTTGACTTACTGCAGTCCATTTATATTTCATATAAATATTAATGTTTTTAACTCTACAATATGCATTTTAAAAGAAGTATAAATAGTAAAAAAAGGATATTTCACACATCTAATATTAAGAATTTGTGTTCTAAACTCATTCTGAATTCCATCCTGATGTTTGATTCTGTGGTAGGCTTCCATAAAAATCCATGATGCTGCTGACTGGAACATAACAAGTAATGTCTTTGCTGTTGATGTTAGATGATAAAACATATTACATGTTAAATTTTTTCAGTTCCCCAGAACTTGCTGAATTTTTAACCTTTCAGAGTGGAAGTTTATGTCCAATTTCTTTCGAATCAACTTGCAGCTGTTTCTGAGAAGGATGTGAAAAACTGCAGAAATCACACTGAACTTCATTTGAAGGGCCTTCATTTGATCAGAAGTGGAGGAGGCAGTGTTATCAATTGGAAAGAAAAGAGCCCAATTCAGGTATATAAGTTATCTGAATTTGATGCTTTTTAAATACACTTTCTAGTTGTATGCTGGATTAGGTATAAACTCTTGTCGGTTTTTGACAAAATGTTAGAGCTGAAAGGCTTTGCTTAAGGCATTGACCTCTGTGTTTTGTATACTTGGAGGTGACTTTGCTTCAATGACTGCTGCCTTCAGTTCTTTTCTTCAAAGAACTGCATCTGTGGCTCAGACAGACTTCACACCTCACATCTAAAATGATGGAATGGCTGTATCTGCCCTTAAAGCTCTATGTTAAATATATAAACATTCATTGTATTTAACCTCTTAATATTTAATCCAATTTATAATTTTACCTTTGAAATTAAAAGGCATGTATTATATGCAATAAGGATTTCATATTTTAAAGAGTTTCAAAATAGGAAATCTGAAGTGCTTCTGAAGATTAAGTTTTGCTGGAACAGAATGAACTACATATTTACATCCACAATTAAAATTCACTTTACTTACTCTGGAAAGCTGAGTATGTATGACTGCTGGTGGAGTCAGTTCCCAGTTTAGATAAAGGAGGGAAAAACATTATTTACTTCCCAATAATGTCCAAATAATAACAATAATAATTTTTAAAAGGATACTTCATGACTGTTCTTCCTTATCTGAATGCTTGCAGTCGATCTTTCCCTCTGAAAGTCACATCTCACTTTGTCTAAGTGTGGTAGCCAGCACCTTCACCAAAAGGAAACAAATGCTCAGATAAACCTCTTAAAATTATTTGGAATCTTTACTGTTACAGAAAGGAAGAATTTCAGAAAAAAAGTCTAGTGATGAAGTTGAAGCTGAATCCACTGAGCTGCCTGTATCAGTTCTTACAGCACAGTTAAAGTTCAAGGCTACAACTTCTCATTTTATTCTATGAACTGTTTCCTTTCACATACTTAGAATTGTAAGCAACTGTGAAACACAGTATTCAGCTTGCAGCATTTGACTGTGAAAAAAATTCATTTCCTTCAAGTCACAGATACTTAACTATGCCAAGACTGCATTTCCTCAAGTGTTACGCAAATTATGATAATCTCTTTCTATGCATCTTAGTTGTATTGTTGTTTCCTTAGATTCCACAAGTATTCTAAGCACTTTAAGACAAGTTAAGATGCAAATTTTTAATCCAAATAATTTCTGTTACAGTCCCTGATATGGCACATAAGCCCTACAGCAGTAAACCAAGTAGCCTGTCTACCCATCAAGATTATTTTGGTAATTAATGTTTCTTTAAAAAAACATATAAGCTGACTTAAAACAACACTAGGTATTTTATGTTGGATTGAAAATGTGCATTTCAAGATGGCATAGCTGGCTAAATAGCTAAGGGTGGGAGGAATTGCAGGAATTTGTAAATGTGGGGGATATGAAAGGAGTTGGAAATAATGTCAGACAGCCCTGGGAACATGTAAGGAATTCCTTTCTGACAATCTGTCATTACGGTGGGCAGATACTGTTTTACAGAATTGCATTTTTGAAGCAAAGAAGCTGCCTTAACCTGTGTAAAAACAAAATTGTAACAGTGTGCTTTTCTTTGAAGTAAAAAAAACCCAATATACATGGTCAGATATTTTGGCTTTGAGAAGAGGTTTGAATACCTTTAGTTTTCACTGTATTTTGATGATAGTTACATACATTAATGCTTATTTCATTTGTAGCTGTGTGGAGTAAAAAAGTTCTTTAACTGG